TGTGCAAATAATGAGATGCTTGCCCCCAAAAGGTCTCGAAGGACTGCATCTCCGGCTCTCACTATCTGCCGAGCTTGTTTCTAAAAATGCCATTGGAGCGAGAGAAACTATCCAAAGCTTGCTTCTTGAATTCATCAGCAATGGCATCCCGCTCAGTTAGGGTTTCACCATCTTGTTCTTGTAGTTTTTTTAAAAGGAGCGACCGGGTCAGTGACCTTTTCCTCGTATTGCCCCTGCAACTTTGCCTTTGAGTATTCTCTGACCACGGCTGGACTTCTGAGCTTTTTATCTCTTTGTATTGTAACCCCTTTGTCCATTAATGTTGATTATTCATGTTTAACAAACACATTTTTGGTGGATCAACACCTCGTTTTAAATGATGCGAATGATGAAAATAAAATAAAAGAAAACAAAAATAAAAAAGAGTTAGTGAGGTAAATCAAAACAAAAATGAAAAAATCCTACCCCACATGATATCTATCCCGCATGCTAATTTCAAACAAATCCTAACCGCATATTTGTCTAGTTCGCATGCTTTTGAGCCGAAAATAAAGTAGGAAGTAAAACATCCTAGGGTTTGGAATGAGGTTTCGGGGTGGGCTCTAATTCCCTGTACTCTCCCGGTTTAGGTTCTAAAAAGGTACTCGAGTTCTCCTTGCCGGTGCCCCCTTGGGCTTGCCAGACCCTTAGTCCTAAGCTCATTACAAGCTTGTGTGGACTAAGTTAAACTCGAGAGGACACATTCCCTTATGCCCATACGGTGAATAAATTCACACGAAGACATAAGGTATATGAATCCCGAAGGCTACTTGCTAGGCATATGCGGTGAATAAATTCACACGAATGCGTCGCTTTCACCCCCACTTAAAAGGGTTCGGAGCTCGGGTTTAGAGCTTAGAGATGACAATTTTGAAAAAAATCTGAAATCATTAAAAAATATCAGTACAACTATTTATTTGAAACAAAATAATCAAAGGTAAATAATTGGAATCGAATAGATAAATTAAAATTTAAATTTACAATTTTCGCATAAAAAGACAACGGAAAATTAATTCTGGCCTGACTCACTTACCTGTCCCCAGCGGAGTCGCCAAGCTGTCGTAACCGTCTTTCGGTTGGGCCCTTGAATTGGGCTTCGACGTGTATTAAATGAATTGGAGTCGCCACCGACCATGTTAAAACGAATTTAGGTGGGTCAGACACCATCTTACCTGATCTGCGCTTTTCCAGAAATTTGTCGGGTTCGGGAGTCGGTTACGGTCAAGGAAGGATTAGCACCCTTGAACCGCCCTTTCGGTACCAATTAATTTTTAGGTTGTTGTTAAATGCGAAAATTAGAAAATTTAAATTGAAATTAAAAAACTCGATTCGAATTGCTCACCTTTGATCGATTGAGATTATTACTGAAAAAGACAAAAGAATATTAGATAGAGAAACAAATAAATAAAAATAAAAAAAATGAAGAAAAATTAAATAAATAAAAAAAAATTTAAAGGTAATAAAATGGAAACGATACGAAGTGAAAATAGATAATGATAATTAAAAAACATGATGGTAATAAAATAAAATATGAATTCAGGGGTCAAATTGCAAAAAAAAATGTAACATATAAATGGGGACCGAATTGAGTCAATTGAAAAATCAGTGGCCAAATTGCATACGGTGACTGAAACGAATTGCGCTTCAAACCTTGGGGGACGGCGGAAAGAATTAAAGAATCTTATATTTGCATAATGGTCCCTGCTATATATATATACAAACCAGCTGATTTTCGTTTCATAATCTTCATTTACTCTCAAATTCTTTCTCCCTCAGCCGAGAGAAAGCTCTCAACTCTCCCAGAACTCTCCCTAGGCGATTTCCGGTCGCCGCCTTGTGTCTCCTCCGCCACTCAGGCCACCGCGCCGGCCGCCACTGCCGGCGGCCTATGAAAACCCGAACCCCACCAAAAGAAACCTCACGTCCCCGTGAACCCGAAATCAACACTCAAATACCCAAACAACCCCCTTGTCGGAATAGATCTAAAGAAAACCCTTTCGGGTTTTACCTTTCCGGTGACTTCTTGCTTTTCCGATGGCCTCTTTGATACGTGCTTCGATGTTTTTTCTTTTGCTCTGCTTTTGGTTTTGGCTTGTTGTGTTCAATGATTTACTGTTTATTGATTTTCTTTGGGTTCTCTGTTCGGTTGTTGGTGTGTTTGGCTATCTTGTTTGTGGTGTTTGGCTTACTATTTGTTTTCTCTGTTGACGGCTTTGTGATGGCTTGGTTTGTTCGACCGTGGTGGTCTATTTCACTGTGTTCTCAGTTTTTGGTTGTGATGCCTCGTGGGTTCTCCCTCGGTTCTGGGTTCTCTGATCCTCCCCCCGTAACCGTGGCTTTGCAAAGCATTTATAAGCCTTCATCGGCCGTTGTAATCCCGAGAATAACGGGACGTGGTGGACTGTTCCGAGATCTTCGTGCATGTATGACCGGTCATCCCGGGATGGGTCAGTCCCGGGATGCCGGCCGGCCGTTTCGGCATGTGTGACCGTCCATTGCTCTATGTGGCGCTGACTATGCAATTCCCCTAAGCAAGAAACCCTAATATGCTATTGGGCTAGTTCAAACCCGGTTCTTTGATTGCTTGGGCCCTATCCTGGACCTGAAACAAATAATAAATAAATAAATGAAAAAAATAAATAAATAAATAAATGGATAAATTAATAAATTAATTAAAAACATTTTTAAAACTATACAATATATACTTTTAAAAAAAAATAATTTTCAAAACTATATAATATATTTTTAAAAACTAATTTTCAAAACTATATAATATATTTTTAAAAACTAATTTTCAAAACTATATAATATATATTTTAAAAACTAATTTTCAAAATTATAAATATATTAGAAACTAATTTTCAAAATTATATACGTTTTTCAAAATGTTTTTAAAAGCTATATTATATATACTTAAAAAAAGTTTTCAAAACAATATAATATGTATTTTCAAAAATGTTTTCAAAAATTATATATTATATATTTTCGAAATATTTAAAAAAAAACCATATATTATATAATTTTCAAAATGATTTCAAATTATATATAAAAAAAATGGACGAAAATTGGTGTCTACACATGCCTTAGAGAGATAAAACATATTAATCCTATATCAAAAATGAAAATATAGGTCATGTAGTTTATAAGTGTTGACGTTTCACATCCTATTGGATATGTTTTTTTAAGAAGATAATAATGATCTCGTGATAAATGATATTAGAACATCTTTCACATCGAAAGCCTATGTGTCATTATATTTTTAAATCTTTATTAAACTAAAAATAATATCAGTAAAAAAATTTATTTCCTTATAATTTCATGCCAATAAAATATTGATTTAAGGATAAGATGGGAGTGAGCTAAAAATTAGTTAGTTAATAGTAAAGTAGCAAAATTTACCAATTATAAGATAGAATGGGTAGACAGGGCATCTTTTGTGAGAAGTTCTCCCGTATGGCAGCCTTAATATACGGTTAAAGAAATGCGTTACTAGTTTTGTTATTATTTTTTTAATATTTTCAATAAAAAATTACCTAAAACATTATTATTTTTATCTAAAACATTAATGTCTTTTAACATTTTTGGTAAAGTACCTAATAATAATAAAACTGGTAGAAAAAATAATGTTTTAAGTAGCATTTTACCGGATATATTAACAAAACCGGTAAAATACCTAATAATAACAAAACCGGTAGAAATAATGACGTTTTAGGTAATTTTTTACCGAAAATATGAAAAAAATAATAATAAAACCGATAACATCTTTCCTTAATTATATATTAAGACTGTGCACGTTATAATTCCCCATCTGTTCTAATATTATCATAATATTTACAAATATGAATTCCACTGGTCGGAGCTGTCCATATCCATTCCCATAACGATAACGAAAGTAGTTGAATTTTGTGGTGACCACAATCAATCCTAACCAAACTAATCCCTTTGTTTTGTTATCTCATCTGTCCACCCTAATTTAATTTTATTGTCACCTTTTTTCATGTTGATGAAACTCGAATTTTGAAAGTGATATTTATGATTCGTTTATCGATAATGTCAATCATGAATTTAAAAATATTTTAAAGGATTAGTAAATATATGAATATCGATAATATCAGTGATGAGTTTAAAAATATTTTTGAGAGTAGGCACACATAGGTTAACAACACAAATTTTTTTTAATGAGGTGGGCACAAATAAAATTTCAGGATGGACATCATCAATAAAATAAGGAACTAATCGGAGAAAATTCAGATTTCAGGATGAGCACGAGCCCACTCTCATCTATATGTGGCTCCGTCGCTGAATTAGACGATATAGATCGTGAGCTAATAGATTTCAATTCAATCAAAACTCAATTAGTGCTCAAATCGAATGGACTCAACATGAACTCGAACTCGACTTGAGTTCTTAACGAGTCGAAACGAGCTACTTAATACCCGACTCGAAAAGCTCGCAAAACAATAAAAATATTAATAGATTAAATTTTAACTTTTAAAATTAAATTATTAATAATATTAACATGTATATATTATTTTTTAATACAATATAAGACTGATATATACTTAGGTTCAAGTTCGAAACCAAGTTGGAGTCTAAAAATATTTTGAGCTCGAATCGAGCTTCAAATTTTGATTTTTGAAAACTTGAAGCTCGTGAGCTTTTAATTCGAATCGAGCTTCATTTTTTATTTTAAATTCGAATTGAGATTGACAATTTTAAACTCGTACATTTTCAAGTCCAGTCGAGCGAAACAATAATTGAACTCGACTCAACTCGTTTATAGTCCTATGATACAAATTTGTTAGGATAAACATAGTCCGTGAAGAGAATAACAAATAGAACGATAATCAAATTTCAGGATGAACATCTTTGCAACGATCATTTTATCAAATGAAATTAATGAAAACCCGAGGTTTATAATATAATCTTATTATATTTTTATAATATATATTTATTTATTTTTACATCCTCGTATATACAAAAATCTAACTTAGTTCTCTCTCTCACACACACACAAACACACACAAAGGTGTGTCCCATTCCTTCCACTATGAATACCAGACAACACTGCAGCTGCAACCGGAAAGTGAAGTACATGCAACTGCCCTAAGGAGAAACAGCTGTTCCAATAATGTCCCTAGAAAAACCCATGTGAAGAACATGACACTTTCCCATTTACCATCGTTGCATCTCCACCGTCCGATTATATTTTTTTCACCCCCATGCACGTACGATTACAGATTACAGATCCAAAAAAAAAAATTCTATACTGATCTGCTGCAATCAGCCTTACCAAATCCCACTCTCCTGCCCGTGAGATCGAATTCCACCCATAGATTTTGTTGATGGAAGTTCCCGATTATGTTGCTCGCGATCCCCAGCATGTTGGACCGTCCGATCCCCATGCAGTGAACCCCACCGCCGACGTCGGCTAGGATCCGGTGTTTGTCCACCGTGATCTCCACCCCTTTCTCGAACTCGAACGTCATGTCGCCTATCGACCGTCCGATCTCGATTGGGTTGCCGTCGAAACACATGTCGGCAACTCCGCCGTACACGTAGCCCTTTTTGAGCCTTGGACCGATGAGTCTTACCACCTCTTCACGTACCTTGTTATACGCCTCGTCCACCAAGTAAGTGAACTCGGAACCGGAGTCGATCATGGTTTGACCCGATCCGGCGGCGTCGGGTCGGAATACTTGAACCGGGATTGGTAGCTTCTTGGCTCCGAGTCTTTTCCCAACCCGGGGCGACTGATGCAGGGGGATCTGAGACAGATGATGCTGAGCTGTCAGATTGCACGTTGATGGCGCTGAGATACCATGAGTTGGCAGATCAGCGCAAAGGCGGGAATTGATTGTGACATGTTCCTTATTGGGGTCGTTTTGAGTATGTTTCAGTCTTTTGGCCATAACTTTGGCTACAGGTGTCAGAATCGCGCATAAGACCCCAATCCGGAAAGCTCTTTTCGACGCGCACGCTCTCCACATTGAGCTACGCTCCATGTGGCCTTTTTTTCAACCTCAAATTCTGCCGTTTTCCCCTCCGAATCACTAGATTTAGTTATTTTTTACTATTTATGGTAATATTTCGATTGTTAATTAGGAAGTCAATTTAAATCCGATTTAGACCGGATTTTTGGGAGATTGCTTATTTTATTTCGAATTTCAATTTAGAGTGATTTTCGGGATTTTGCTATTTTTGGCAAAATTCAAATAAATACGATTTTTGCTATTTTTGGCAAAATTCGAATAAAGACGATTTTTTTAGCTATAACAGTCCGGCTTGTGGACTGCTTTTGACAGTTATTGATTTTATAATATTTTATTAAACCCTAGAGACTTTTTTTCTCTGGTTTTTGGGCGAATTTTCTCTTGTGAATCGTCTGTCGGAGCTAGCCTACAGGATAATCACTATTCTGTCTGGCGTCAGAGAGTGTACGCCAAAGGATCCATATTCGGCATGGACCGGCTTTGGGGGAAGACCAAGAGGTTTATGTATTTAAACCCGTGAGAATTCGGGTTTTCTCCGAGGTAAAACGATCCAGTCGGAGAAAAACCGGGTTGACTCCGACGAGTTGGGACACAGTAGGAGAACTTGGAGATTTTGGACTGTGAAGCGAAGGAGAACCGTCCCATGTTCATTCCCAAAATACCCTTGTCCTCGCTAGTATCGGTGGCGCAACCGAGGATCAAAGGTGGGGTACTCTGGGAACGGGAAAAGGTAAACTTTTCTCTGACCAAGTTGCCCTCGGCGAGTGTTCCGTCGGCGTAGAAGTAAGAATAGTGACACAAACGGTTCTGGTCGCACGACGTCGGTAGGGTAAAATCGGGAATCCGGGGCTTACAGAGAGGATGATTGCACGGCACCACGGAGAAAGACGACGAAAGAGAAGGATCAAACGTCGCCGTCGGCGGCGGTTTCCGGGGAGCCTTCTTATGACACTGAATCCAGGACAGTTGGCTCCCGGTGTCCAACACCATCTGCTGCGTCTGCGGCGGCGTCCCAATAGGCAAAGCCACGATCAACGCCATCCAATACTTGAACGTCGTCTTGTAATTATACGACGACGACCGTGCCCTGGGCTGACGCCTCGGCGAATGCTTACTCACCGCGACCAACGAAGGATTCAAAGTGTCCGGCAAGAAACGGAGGGAAGTGAGAGGAAAAGAGATGGAAACGGTATCGTTCTGTTTTGCTTGAGCAACTATGAAGGAAAGAGAGAAGAGGAGGAGAAAAGGGAGAAATTTGGCCATGGAAGCTTGTTCGAAAGAAGCAGGAAGAAGAAGGGTGGTGATGGGCTGTTGAAATGAAGGTGGAGGTGTATTTATAGGTGGAAAGTAATAGGGGATAGTGGGGATTCAAAAAACCATGGAAAAGGGATATATGTACAGTGAAAGAAGACGCGTTTTCTTAATTTCATAATTAAAATGGTGACCGCCATTTTTATGATCTTCAATAATGCTCACACCTATCTATTATGTGCATGCATGTATGTCACCCGACAATTAGTCAATTACCATCTTCATTTTGTTAAGATGAAGTATAAATATTTTGGGTAAAGTAAACACATATGGTGACCTGTCTATAGAGTATTGTTCTATTAAGTTTTTCGACTATTAAAAGTTAAAAAATGATCATCCGATTATAGAATATTACTTTATTAAGTACCTCAAATATTAAAAGTTACAAAATAATCATTTGACTATTCATTATGTTCCAAAGTCGTCTACAAAATGGCCATCTGACTATTCATTATGTTCCAAAGTCGTTTTTCATTAAAAAAATTGTTAGTTGTCTAAGCTAGACGTTAACATGATAACTTAGATATGATAATCTTTTGAGATTTTGAGATCATATTTTATCATATCACAATATGCGGGTTAACGTTCAGCTCATAAATAATCATTTAACTATTCATTATGTTCCAAAGTCGTCTACAAAATAGCCATCTGACTATTCATTATGTTCTAAAGTCGGTTTTCAATAAAAAATTGTTAGTTGTCTAAGCTAGACGTTAACATGATAACTTAGATATGATAATCTTTTGATATTTTGAGATCATATTTCATCATATCACAATCAGCGGGTTAACGTTCAACTCATAATACCGTCAATTTTTTAAATGAAAAATATGAGTTTGGAACATAATGAATAGTCGAATGACCATTTTATAACTTCTAATAGTCAAAAGGACTCAACAAATATAGTCGGATGACCATTATGTAACTTTTAATAGTTGAGAGACTTAATAAAGTTGTATCATATAGTCGATGAACCATTTGTGTACTTTATCCAAATATTTTTAATGGGATTAGTTTCTGTTTAGAACATTAAATAGTCGCACGACCCAAATTACATAAATAGTTAAATGAATGGTTGTTATTTCTAAATGTTCCATGTTCGAGCATCAATGACTACAATGAAAAAGCACAAAATCTATTTTCTACCGCACTTATAAATTTGTATACAAAATATATCTTTTAAATTTATTTCTAGAGGTAAAATGATTCCACCCAAATTTATTAGTCATTTTACTAGTGCACTTATAAATTTATAATATTTTTTGAATAAATTTAAAAGATATATTTTGTATATAAAATATTTCCATCCACTCATATGGGGTAGCACAAAATCTTACCCTTTTTTTCATTTTTGTTTAAAATTAAAAAAATGAAATTTTAGTATTTTTTTTAGTTTTTTAATTTGTCCACATTTAAAGTGTACCTCCATAAGAATATATATGGGTCTAATTACACTCTTAGTTCTTATACTCTTTGCATATTTAAAATCTAGTCCCTCTACATTTAATTTTAGTGTTTTACTCACTTTATTATTTTGATTTAATAATTGAAATTCAATTTGTAGCATTGTAAATTGATTTTTGCTTAATTGGAGCATGTGACATGTTTAAATCACATTGTTAATATTGTACGTGTGTGTGGCCAAATAAACAAATATGAATATGGAATATAATTTAAAAGTTTTTCGATTTTGAATCAAAATTGAAAGACGATATTTTTTCATTAAAAAAATCTTTATGTGAGTTTTTTTAGAAAGATTAACATCCAATTTGAAAGTATTGTCACTCGAATTTAAATTATTAAAACGAATTATTAGAGAAATTAAATTTACGGAATCAAAGTGGAGAGACTAAAGTTTAAAATATAAAAAATACAATGGCCAAAGCGTAATTAGACCATATATGAAATATCTTTGAGCCTTGGGCTAAATAATTAATTCTGCATTCCAGACATATGTGGGGTTTGCAAAGGTTTCATCCGTCTTAAATTCACATTTATTTCATTCTTAATTATGAAGGGAATGCTTTTATTCTATTATATATGAAATTTTATATTGTTTTCCTTGGTATTAATATTAAATTATTTTCCATTTGAAATTTGCAAAGATAAAAAAATATGAGAAAAATATAAACTTTGGACATTTTCTTTGGATTAAGGGTCGTGTAGTAGATTTAATTTATCATTTTCGTTCATATCTTATTTTAACATCAAATTAGTCCTCAAAGTTGTTTAATTGCATCATTCTATACCCTTCTCCTAGCTTAAAATCTTAAATTATAAATTATAAGTTAGGGTTTAGGGTTTAGAGTTTAAGTTTTATGATTTATAGGTAACGGGGTTATGGTTAGGTTTTAGGGTTTATAATTTGGGGTTTTAAGTTAGGGGTAGGGTATAGAATGATGTAATAGAGCAACTTCGAGTGTTTAATTGATGCGAAAATACGATAAAGGTGAAAATAATAAATTGACTCTACTACAAGGATAAACGTGACCCTTTTGCCAAATTTTTTTAGGCCATGAAAATATCGATCTTCTATATTTGATTTATCGTCAAACCTGAATATCATGTGTAAGGCTGAAACTAGATCTTTTTGGGGTTAAAACTAAAAAAAATATTTTTATAAAGGCTCAAATGTAATTTTAACATTGTATTGACTTATTATTTCACAATTTTGTAAGGATTAAATCACAATTTTTATCATCTTAGGGGTCAAAAGAAAAGTTTATCATGTATTAACAATAAATTTATATTTTTTAAGATTTATATACCTCTAGCTTAACTCAGGTCATAGGTTAGCCTTAATTAAAAAAATTGGTTTAATTTTAAATATATTTTATTTATCAATTCAATCAAATATTATAATATACTTTAGCTATCAATCCAATCACACATCAAAAGTGTAATTTGGAACTTAAACATTTTTTGACTAATTAGATACACGAACTTAACTTTAAGGTTCAAATTAGTACCTAATTTTTTTTTTGGACCAATTAGGTATCTTAACTTGGCTTACTGGTTTAAATATGTACCTAAACTTTATTTTTTTTGTTAAAATTAATATTTACAATAAATAATATCTATTTGAACCGTTTTGAATCTGAAAATGAAATTCATGTACAATGGGAGCAAAATCAAAATAAATCAAAACTTAAAGGTCTAAATTGATAATTATCTCTATTTTTTAATGGTAAAAATTTTTTATGGGGGGCAATGCCCCGGGACTAGGGGTGTAAACGAGCCGAGTCGAGCTCGAGTATTGCTGAGCTCGACTCGACTCGAAAACTCTGAAATAGAGCTCGACTCGACTCGAAAACTCGCGAGCTTAAAACTTTCAAGCTCGACTCGAACTCGAAATCCTGAACTGAAGCTCGTGATAAGCTCGAAAAGGCTCGAAATGAAGAAAAAAATTCTTAAACTTAACTCGATTGAAGCTTCAAACTCAAACTCGAACATGAACCTTAAATAGATAAAAATCTTACTTAATTTTAAAAATAAATCAATACATAAATTTTAATATTATTAATAATTTATTTTCTAAAAAAAATAAAATCTTAATATATTATATTTTCGAGCTGCTCACGAGCTTTTCGAGTCGAATATCGAGTAGCTCGTTTCGGCTCGTTAAGAACTCGAGTCGAGCTCGAGTCGAATCCATTCGATCCGAGTATTTATCGAGCCTTAATCGAGTCGATCTCGAGTAACTCGCGATCTGTCTCGTCTCACTTACAGCCCTACCCGGGACCTACATGGCTCCGTCACTGCTCAAATGGCCAACCATGTTCGTGCGGTAATAACACTAATGTTTAAAAAATTACAATGTCGTCAATAATATTTTCAATTTATTAAACCATAATCATTAAGCAATTAACTTTTATTAAGGGAAAAATAAAATGATAACACGACAACTAATTAAATGAGGAAATGAAAATACAAGTTTTCTTAAATAATTTTATTTTATCAATATTTTAACGATAATTAATGATTCAATAACATTAATATAACGAATTGATAACGTCATTGATCATATTTGTATTTTTTAAAAATATTACTCAAAATGTGCAGTTAATCAAACATGAGTGACCATTAATCAGGGTAAGTTCAAGTGATAATCAACTTTGATATCGTTTAAGTAATATTTTAGGTTCGAGTATTTATGTATGCAGATAATCCCCATTGGAAGACTCGCCCACTAAACCAGGTTTGCGACCTTGATTGATCCAAATTAATCAGGACAAAACTTTAAAACAGTATATAAAAAAAATAATTCATTTTTCCCAAATAGATCTTAAACGTTGTATTAATTGGGGTCCATTAAACGAAAGTTGTTGGCTCATTAGCTGGCTGCCTACTTTTTCTTTCAACGCTTGTCCATTTTAGGGTTGTTTTCATGCAAGCAATGGCAACAAGTCTCGTCATGGTTGACCATATAAGTAAATAAGATCAAGCAAGCATATTCAAATTAAAGACTAGGGTAAAGTACGCAAATGGTCCCCGACCATAATATATTATTTTTTTGAGTCACTCAATTATTAAAAGTTATAAAATAGTTACTTGATTATTCATATATTATAAACTCATCCTTTTTTTGTTAAAAAATTGATGGTCTTCTGAGTTTGACGTTAATATATTGACAGAGATATGATGAAATCATATTTTAATGATGTGTACAGGCACCGTCATTACTTTGAAGCACTAGCGTGATGATATAATTTTCAAGCACTGACTCAATGGTATAATATAAATGGAGACTCGATTCACAAAATACAACTCAAACAATTATGGGGTAAGATTTTATCATGTCACAATAAGTAGATTAATATCTAGTTCAGACGATTGCCAATTTTTTAAAGAAAAAAAAGACGAGATTGTAACATACGAATAGTCTGATGACCATTTTGTAGCTTTAATGAAAATTTTAAGTTAAATTTTTTTTAAATCCACTATAATTTCTTTTAATTATTTCAATTAACAAAAGTACGTAAGACAAAAACACTAAAACCAAGTT